TCCAGATCAGATTACCTTTCGTTGAACCAATCATATTATTCAATTTCTAGCACAGGATCAACTGAAAAGTACATAAGAGAAGTATGTATTTGGCTCACCACTTACCGACGCTGTCAGTACGAAAACTGTACAGCGTCGGATTACAGAATGACTGACGAGACGAACTGGTAAGGATCTGCAAGGAATGGGTTGTGGCCTAGCAGAGATGCTACGTCGGCTGTTGTCTGAAGGGACTAAACGTCGGTGTCCCAGCACTTCCGAAATACTGTTCGATCCCGTGCCACAAATTCTGCACTACGATTTGGGCTACTTGCAGTTAACGTCTCTAGATTCATGGACGGATGTAAGGACTCTCACACACACAAACACGGTCCGTCTATGCGCACAAAACAACTTATCATAACTGCCGAACCGATCTTCAAGAAATTTAACACTGGGGAGTTTCGTTCAGATTTGTTGACACACTCCAAAAGTGTATAAAAATGACTGACACTTTACATGAAGTCCTCCACGCCTTTCTGCGCCTATCTACAATGTAACTTGTTAAATATACTAGATGATTCTAAATTACTGTCTGGGTTCCCGTTCACATGCCACAGAAACACGATAATTATTGACATCCTGTATATGGGAGCATTTCAAACATACGCTACAGAGAATTATTAAACTCAAGTTTCATGTCCAGTACACCCCTTCCGTAGATGGCGCTTTCGAAGCACTTAAACGGGAAGTTCTGGGGAGAACCAATCGCCCACTTTCCTTTCATACGACACGGACCGCATTGAAAACGATGCCTCCACCAATTCGTCTATTGTTGTGTGCATTCGTTGCCCGAGCCCCTGTCTAGCAATAGGGGGATACATATACAGACACACACAGACAGAAAGGTGATTCATAAGCCTACTTCTACTTTTTTTTTTTCAAAATAAGGAAAGTAGACTGAAGTGTGCTTTTCGTTATACACTCTACAGTGGAAAACATAGAGCTGCAACGATTTGAATTAACTTCCAATAATTTATAGGGATAAGCTCCCAAACGAAAATTGCATAAGCGGTCTCTTCAGGATAACAACGGTACGCACGCTGGGGGCCCGAAAGCATAACGCAGATTTACCGTCTGGACGGTAGATATTTAGGAATTAACAATGGCCTACCGAACAACACTCGCTGCCAAGGCCAGCTGTATGTGAGAAAGTATGTGAAATGTCTTTTCTCCGATTTCTTTTCACGCTGTGCTCCATTACAATATACAATATTCGTAACTTCCAAACGTATAATAAAACAAGAAGTTTTTGGAAAAACAAATCGCATATTTTCCTTGATACGACACAGACTGCACAGAAAACGACACGTCCACCAATTCCTCTATTGCTACGTGTGCATTCCTGGCAGCGGTAACTTTTTTTTTACAGAGCCGTTGTTTAGCATCGTTAGGGGGATACTTTACAGAGCTGATGGGGGGACACACAGACATACAGCACGGCAATCGCATAATTATACTTTTATTTTTTCGGAATAAGGAAAGTGGGCTAAAAGATTTTATGGCGATGACTATGAGGAGTACCACCTGCTTGGGTGTGACCCCATGTGACCTGGTAGAAGCTTACTGACATTACGAGGAACGTATTTCTCCATCTTCTGGGTTACAGAGTAAGCCAAGCATGCAACAAGCAGCAAGACCGGACAAATAGTACTACTATTCGCGTATTAAACAAGATGTACGTATCTGCCACGGTTACTATGAAAATATACATTCACTGCCGTCACAATCCCAGGGACTTCTTCTGTGAGGAAGAATTAGGACAGAAACAGACTTGAATTCCAACTCGTGCACGTAACAGCAAACTTAACATTTCACCCCCCTTGAGTTCTCCTTCCTAGAAGGAACTTCTGTATTTACACTTCCCCGTTATCATTAGAGTTTCCGAGGCACAGAGCCTAACGCTGTGAATCTGCATACACACAGAATTACAAAAACGAAATCTGGTTTTGAACCCTTACGATAAAGTCATACATACAGACGGACAGACATGGAAGATCTATACAGTGAAACGTGCGTTAGGGGGGCGCTTCTGCATTTTACTCACTTCAGTGATACCACACAAACACGCGAATCATAATGGCACTCACTGTGCTCATGTAATTGAGGTCACCTTCCTTCTCAAGCTGAGGAACAATTTGCAAATGAAAAGTTTCCATACAAGCTTGAACTACATTCCTTACGAGTTAAAAATTAATAACTGCCCCGAATTTTATCACTAGGACATGACACTTGGCGGCATTATGCGTTAACTCAGAACGTGTGAACCAAAAGCTGTTTGCTGTACCTTTCTTAGCACGGACATCAATTCTCTTGTATTGTCAACGACTTCTGCAAGGCCACAGTAGGTCATACTGCCATACGTCGATTCAAACTGTCCGCAAGCGTGGCTACCTTGCATAAACTGCAAAGGCCAAGACATACACATGATACGAGCTGGACGGTCGAGGAGTCGGGGTTCGATTCCCGGTCGGATCAAGAGCAGCTTTCTTTCTTCTCCATAACGTCCAGACCGGCTCTAAGGCCCACCTAGCCTTCTGTACAATGAGTACCGGGAGCTGTTTCCTTGACGGTAAAGCGGTAGGGGCGTGAAGCTGACCGTTTACCCCCATTCAATGCCGAAATAAAGAATGGTGGAGCTACGCCGCCACTCCTCCATACGTCATCATGGCGTGGTAATTAATTTAAGTCCAACTTTACCTTTCCATTTTACAAGAAAATGTACCTTTCTGGGAACATACAAATCGTATCACCAATATTTGCCTTGATAAACGGCATCTGGTCTTTCACTGGCCACCGTAGGAGTATAAAACAAGGCGACTTTTGCCTCTCTACATCTCGTAACATCAACGTTCGGCATTAACCCTTTAAAGCCCAGTGGTTACTATATGTACCACCTGCTTTAACATATTAAAACCGTGCATTTTGCACACAAAGTGTAGTTGTGTGTTCCGTGTGGTTCGTATGCGATTATTTCCCTAAGCAGCATCAACCGGCTAGTCACTAGCGGAAAAGCAATGTGTTTCCTGTGAGGTAGAACTGAATTCTAATAGAAAATTGTGATGAAATTCAGTCTTTAAAAAATAATTAAGATCATGAACCAGCAAAATTGGTTCGTTATATAACGGCGCTCCTAGTATCGAAGCTCTACAGGGTCTATGATAGCACGCTTAATGAATATGGATGAGAATCGGCAGGGGAAGCCCAAGTACTCGAAGAAGAATTCCCCGGTTCCGCTTTGTCTTCCACAAATACTACATGACCTAAAAATCCATCGTCACAAGCTGCTAGTCACTTAACTAGTCACGGAAATACGAGTCTTCTGTGAAACCTGAACTTTTACAGCAGCCCGCCACTGGTCCCTGTCCTGAGCCACGTGGTTCTAGTGCACCTCCTCACACGAAGTTCCTTAGGGTCACTTCAGCAGTCTCACACCACACACGCCTAGGTCTCCGTAGGGCCTCCTCTCTTCATGTTTCCCACATGTATATGTCAACCCTATTCCTATGACTATAGTAAATTGTATATGACTTGAATTACATTTTGGAGCCTATTTTCAACGTCAAAAATGGGAGTCCAGGCCCAAAGAATACTGCCAATTCGCTGTAGAAATTAATACGGTTAAATATGCATGACTTTAAAACCCTGGGGAACCGGCAATTTCCGCATTCTGGCGGACTATGGCAAAAAGAAAATGACTAAAATGCGGCAGCAAGACTCTCTGAAAGGCTTCTGAGATGAAAACGGTCCATATTTCTCCAGAAGCCACAATAATTCTACAATGCATTTTCATATTTGCGGCGTGGTAAGAATGTGGCGTGACAAAGACATTACAGTATACTTGTAGGCACTCTACGCCTAGGGTCATTTGTCTTCTAAACGTCACAAATATCCCTACAGATAACCCACTCTTCCTAAGTCCTCTGCAATGACATCAGCAACTCTTTTTAAATTCTACTAATTAGACTCGTTGAAGTTAATTTAGGAGATGTAAAGATCGTAGCAAAGTTGAGATGAGGATTTTCATAACAGAGCTCTCTAGTTATTTTGCAACGTCCTGTTCTTACACAGCATGAAAATAATAAGCTAATTTGACAAGATGACGATTTTCTATCGAACAAGCATCATGAAACGACCCATGATTAAAATATAAGAGCGCTTAAAAAGCGAATTACATATGACATGGCTATGTGACGTTTGAAATTGAAACCACGCCCACCGGGTTTTACGAAAACTTTTCTTCGATCAGACAAAAGCTGCATCGAACTGGATACGAACAATTTCGCCTATGAGGTGGTGTCTGCATGCGACCAAAGCAGTGCCAATCACAGTATGTCCTAACTGTCAATATGCAACGCAACTTGACTGCAAATATTGTACCCGCCACAGCGAAACTCGCAAAATTAAAAACAAAAGGTGGAACCAATTCCTAGACTCTGGAAAGCATTTCACTACAATGTTCACAAGTTTACAAAAAAAAAGTTCCTACGCTACCAACTAGGCCAATGAGACTTTCTTTCTTTCCTCATTCATGTAAACACTGCTACAGATAATGAATATCGCTTACATTCGTATACGCGTGATTCACTGTATACAGAATCGAATAATATTCTCTGCTATTGCCGATATACCGCAACCACGCGCATTTTGAATTTCTCGACCTGAGGAAGCCAGCTCATCATTTTAACATCAGCAACAAATATGAAGTTGCCCAGAAGTGTGCAGTACAAGATATGGGCAACTTAACATTCCTTTAAAGCCATAGATTTATGCATGGCTTCTCGGCTACACCGAACCCAGTCATATGGTAACTTCACTGATATTCCTCGCTCATTTAAAATTAGTCTGTTGTATTGTTCTCACAAATGCCCACGTCTCTGGCATAGAAATATTTAACAATTCCACATCGTCTATCAAACAAAATTAACTTGGCGCAACTGAACTAAAGTTTATGTACTTACCCTTTCCTCCTCGCGGATCATTTCGGCGATGCCCGGCTTGATTTCCATGTCGTCAGGATGCGGTGGGGGTGGCAACGAGAGGCCTGTATCTCCTGGGATTGGAACCAGAGTTGGCCCGTGGGGGTGATTCTGCGGTGGTGGAGGCGGTGGTAGGCCCTGCGAGTTCACCATGGCGTTGGGAGGCTGTTGGGGAGACAGTTCTAAAGCACTTGAATCTAGTCCTTCTGCGCCCAAACTTTCTTCGGGGCTACTGACACTGCTTCGCTCCCCTGACGTACGGCGCCTCTTCTTCTGCCGGTGGAGCTGCTGCTGCGGCTGTTGTTGCTGGGCATGTTGCTGCTGGGTTTGTTGTTGTTGCTGTTGTTGTTGCTGCTGCTGTTGCTGTTGCTGTTGTTGCTGCTGCTGTTGCTGGGGCGTCGTAGGAGGAGAAATGGCATTCTCCGACAAGTCATGGGGTATCGGACCCTGCCGAGGATCCCAGCTTTTCTTACCGTCACTCGCAGATCCGGGCCCTTGTTCCGGCTCGCCGTTAACATCGGCCAGTCCACGAATCTTCAGTGATTCCGCCACCTTCAGCAGCGGGCCTATCTGCTCCTGTGACACGTTAATTTCACCCTTGTACATGAACTCCACGACAGCCTTCAACTCAGGCCATTTGATATCTTTAAGAATAACGATAGGATGTTGGCACGGATTGTCGAAAAACAAAGACTGGAAGTATGGACTACAGGCAGACAGGACCATCTTGTGCGCCTTGACTGAGTGACCGTCGCAAGCTAGGGTCACGTCCACGAAAGACTCGCTCTGAAGAAGTTGATCAAATACATTGGTGAGATTGCTTTGGTAGTTGTTCCAGCGCAGACAAAACTGCTGCGGGGAACCCATGCAGTGCTGCATGATGCCAACAGCTGCCTCCTCGCGTGTTGACTGCAGACCCACAGCCAGGGCTCCTCACCGTCAGACTTCTAGCAAACACCACTGTCCTTCTTCACCACAGTTCTGCTGCCTCTGGACAGACAACCCACATCTGCAACGCAAATCAGTCAGACATTGTCACTACCTTCACACCACCACCGCCACTACCAGACACTCCCCCAAAACAAACAGTCTGCACTAGGATACTCGCTAACGGCGATACAATGACGACCGCAAGTTCGAAGAACAAACGCACCACGCGAACAACTGAAAGAGCCACCACGAAGAAATTAAGACGCGACAGTTTTTATTTATCGGATTTTTTTAGAAAACACGAGTCGACGAGCGACACACGAACGACTAAAGACCGAAATGTGGTAACGTAGACTACAACACCACCGCTTCGCTACCAAACGCTCTTCTGACTCGCTTGCTCGTTCGGCCGGCAGTCGATGCACGCTCCCCGCTCCGCGCCGCAAGCTTCGAGCATAAATGGCTCGAGTTATACGTGATAGCACAAGCCAAATGGTCGATTTTCCCGTGCTATGCTCAACATCCCATCCCTTTTCTCTTCTTGCCACGAACCTCATCCCGCACTCCCCTTTCCTACATCATTTATTTATATAAAATGTACATGTAATACGGGGGTGTGAAATGAGAGGATGTCTGTCATACATAATGCATGAAGATGCCCTAGCCCTATTGATTTATTGATGAAGGTTTCTGGGAGGAGATATGGAACTCTCACTCACATACGTACGTACAATACGGACCAAGATGCTTGCTTACTCTTCACAAGTGGAGGCTGAGGAGTCTACATGCTATATTATATTCCGGCTCTGTATATTTAGCAGCTGCGTTGGTTGCTTGCTATGACTCAGCCCATGCTTACTTGCTTTATGTTATTGAATTTCATTAGCGACTAATTTGATGGCAAGGTCTCCCTCGCTGTTGCCGCCATGTTATGAACCACAGTAACTATACGAGCCATAAACATCTTACAGCATTCGCATCTCCTCATAAAGAACTCTTCCCAAAACGGTCCAAAAAAGAACTAAACAATGGAGATAAGATTTTCACGGCGGTGAAGATTTTTGATTGCGGCCATCTTAGTTGTGAAAGTGTACAAGATAACCAGACAGCACGGCATCACTACCTATAAGACATTTAACACATAAACAATGCAGCTCGACATGTTACTCAGATAGGAATGCCTCATGCAAAGTCGAAGAATGTTTGAGGGAAATCGAATGGAATTCCGTTAACATCAAGGACTCCATCGCAAATTCAGCACTGCACTTAAATTGCATTTGTCAGTCTGGGTGTCGGCGACAAATTCTCGGGAAAGAAATGCTTCCTTATTTACATGACTAAATGCATTTCACAATAACCTCTCCGGCACCAATTCCATCTTCATCACGACCAACGCCAGTACCGTCTATTGATACATACTGTAACGTGGATGGCGCAACAGTAAGTAGGGGCCACGTGAACTCTGCCTTTTCGTGAGTGACGTCACAATACTATTCATTCATTCTTCAAAGACTCTACGTACATCCCTTTGTTGGGCCTTGACCTCTTCTTCAGTTTCGTAATCTCTTTTACACGGTCGGCAGGACTCCTTGGACGGGTGATCAGCCCGTCGCAAGATCGCTAACTACACACAGGACAACACAAACGCAGAATAAACGCACACAGATATCCATGCTTTGAATGGGATTCGAACCCATGATCCCAGCGAGCGAAGACAGTTCATGCCTTAGACCGCGCGGCCACTGTGATTCATTCGTAAGAGAATACAGAAGGCAGTTCAGTAATTAGTGCTCAGCTGTGAAGTGTCAGTCAGATAAGATTCGCTACCAAGCAACGCCTTGCAAAGGCAGACATTGAAGATTTTGTGTGCTGTAGTTACAGTAATCTGTAGGGTGTGTAAACCAGCGAGACTGTTACACTTATGTGTAGTTACGACCTGTGAGTGATCAATAAATCTATTAACCAATCCAAACCCCGTCTATAGTCAATAATACACATGACTGCACACTATTACTTAAACAATTCTGCATCAAAAGATAAAAAGCATCATTCCCGAAGGCTACCATACGCGCACTGGGCCTACTGAAAATCAAAATGGTTCTTCATATGCCTCATGGATACACGATATCGAAAGAACCCTGGAAACCGAACTGCATAAACTCCCACTTCGGTATGCGAAACAGCAAGAAATAGAAACATAATTAACGCTGACATGGGACAGGTCACTGACTGGACTTTTGATTCGAAGATTTTCACAACAGCCTTTCTCATCCGAACTTCGACAGTTTAATGTGCGGAGAGCAGCTAGAAAAACAGTCACTACACGTTTCAAATGCACCTGAAAACATTTTACGACGTGAAGACGATAAAGAACTGAGATTTAGGTAAACGCGGACTTCCGTTAACACACATACATATGAGACGAACTCCGACAAAGGGCGGCTCCGTAAGCTTAAGTCCAAATGTCCGAATCATGAACCGACGGTCTGAACATCCTCATGTACACGCATCCCCTAAGACTTCTGGATATTTGTTGACAGTTTCTATGTCTATATACAGCCAAGTGACCGCAAGTAACGACGGCAACTGTAATGCTTTACAGTACTTCATACGTAGATGAGTCTCTTTCAGTGAAACCTTTGTTTCAAACAGATGTCACAGCATGTACGTTGAAAAGCAGCATTTGTATTATACAACTCTGTCAAGGAATGATTTTTGTTTTACTGCCATCTGTGATGGACCGCCTCTGTGGTCTAATGGTCAGAGTTCTTGGCTACAGATTCAGAGGTCCGGGTTAGATTCCCGGCGCTACAAGATTTTTTTAAAAGTAGTGGGTCTGGAACGGGATTCACTCAGCCTCGTGAGGATAACTGAGGAGCTATTCTAAGGAAATAGCGGCTTCGGTCTAGAAAACCGAGATTAACGGCCGGGGAGATCCCTTGCGCTGACTACGTGACACCCTCTATCCGATAAATTTGGCACTACCTTCGCCGACAAGCGGCGGTCGCTCGGTCGGTATAGTTCGCTTGCGGACTACAGACCACGGAGTTTTTTCTGCCATTTGTGATAGCACAAACTGTGGTTCACACTAACGCGGCTGACTAAGATGCAAGTCTGTAGCAGCACAGTAATCGACCTAAAGTCTTAGTGTCGATTAGTTTTTTCAGTCTCATGTGCAACACTATGTTCTATAAAATTTATTGACCGTTACTCACTTTAAAAGTTTATCCTTACATGTTTCGACCCGTGTGGTCACCATCAGGTGTTAAAATTACCGGGCGAGGAAACTGCTGTCTTGTGTTTCTGGGTATGTTGTTAAATTCCGCTCGATGCGCATATGTTTGGGTTGGTGGGTTGTGGCTGTGCTGCGTGCCTACATCAAATTGGGCCACTGCCGTTTCCTTCCACATCCGTTCCTATGCATTATTCTCTCTAATCACCCAGCTATTCTGCTGCAAACAGCCTGAGCTACATTCATAACAAAGCATCCTTTAGCATTTGGCAGTGAAAGGGAACATATCCCTGCGCCTGCGCAGTAAAATGTATAGTCGAAAGCCATATATTTACCTACCACTGACATCCAAATTTCAAATATTAAAAAGGAGCCGGGATAGCGTAGTTGGTTGAGGCATTATGCTACAAGGAGGAAGGTCGCGGGATCGAATCCCGATGAGGTAGATTTTCTCAATTTACCTAATCCTACCAGCTGCACTATGGCCCTGGGGTTGACTAAGCCTCTAACAGAAATTCGTACGAGGAATATTTCTGGGGGTAAAGGGAGGCCGGCGAGTAAGGCTGACGACCTTGCCGCCATCTATGAGCCGATTTTCTAGGACAGTGTTCGGCAACCGGTGTGCCGTCACAAGGTGAAGGGTGTGACGCGAACTTTTACCTATTGTTAAGAAATTAATTGTCGAATTGTATTCGTTTTATTTTATCCCTGTTACCGTGTTTCATATGCTTGTATTTTATTCTCAGCCACTGCACTGATTAAATTAGATGCTTGTTTATTCTTTATTACGTGCTGTGATTTTTTATGTACAGTGATGTTGTATTCTAAGAAATTAAACGTAAATTATTTATTCACAGTTGTTGTTATATCATAGTTTTCATTATTGATTTATTTTTATTTTTCTCGCATCTTCACAGCTTCTTTGATATGCTTGCCGCATGTTCTGTGTACGTGCTTTTCCCTAAAACTGCAGGGATTAGCATGGGTTTTCCTGTCTTTTATAACGCTGTTTTGGTATTTGCCCCTGTTTGTTAGTTGAGCTTCTTCAA